GAGAGAGTGACTTCACGCTCCTGGCACCGGATATCAGTTAGATAGCGAGTGAGCCAGTCCATGCCCAAGATCACGTCGAAGTCGCGCATTTCGATAATATAAGCGTCGGCCTCCAGAACTCGTCCACCGATAACAACATTGAGATTGCGGACCACAGAATCAGAGATAATAATTTTTCCCTAGGCTAGGCTAACCTCGAGAGGATCAACTTTGCACATATTAGAAACAGATAAGGCTTGCACGCAACGAGAGGAAATAAAGGAATGGATGGCTCCAGTATCACATAGGGCAAACACAGGCACATTGGATATTGAAAGCATGCCAGACATGGTACCTGCGTTGTGGGCGGCCTCATCATGAGAAATGATGTAGATGCGGGCCTGGTTCTCAATCCTCGGCTGGTTCGGAGGTGGCTGTCTGGGCTGCTGATATTGGTGCTGCTGAAGTAGTGGTTGCTGCTGCTGGTAGGGTCCCTGCTGTTGCCTCTTCGGCTCGGGACACATGTTGGCGAGATGGCCGGTTCGCTGGCAATTGTAACAAGTCTTCTGGGCAGCTCGACACTCCCCAGTATGGTATCTTCCACAGCCATTGCAGGGTCGGGTGCTACGCTTGTTGGAACCTCCATGTTTTCCCTTCCGGTTGTCCCGGTGGGAATCAGCCTTCCTCTTGTTGGAGCTGGAGCCAGGATGAACTGAGGTGATAGGTTGCACAGACTGTGCAAGAGGCTGAGAAGCTGAGGCATGAAGTTTCTGATAGCTCTCTAGCTGTTGGGCACGAACAACACTCTCCCTATAGGAAAGGTTGCCCTGGCTAGTGAGGTGCATGCAGAGATCACGACAAAGACCGTCACGGAACTGAATGGCCTTATTCTCCTCGGTGTCCACCAGCGTTGGAGCAAAGGGGCTCATGCGGGCGAAATCCCGCTCGTATTCATTGATAGTCCGGGTCCCCTGGCGGATATCCCAGAACTCACGCTGCATCTGCTTCTTGTAATTGAGGGGGTAGTACTTATCGAGTATCACCTCCTTCATTCTGTCCCAGGTGAGATTAGCGCGCTCAGCCGGCCTAAGCCTCCAGTGGTCGTGCCACCAGATGTCAGCATCACCCTCCATCTGATACTGGGCACAAACAATCTTCTGCGCATCGGTGCACATCAAAAGATCGAACATCCGCTCTATCTTGCGGAGCCATTCAGCCACGGCTGTGGGCCCCTCAATTCCGATGAAAGCCGGTGGGGTCAGCCGCTGAAACTTGATAATCGTCTCGCGGTGGTCATCCTGCTGAGGTGGAGGCGGAGGCGGAGGCGGGTTTTGCTGATTGTTGCGAGTATTACGGGTATTGCGATTGGCCAAATTTCTACAAGGAATAGGCCGAAAGAACTTAGCACAATAATTATCAAAGGAAATCTAGAGTTCGCCAAGAAACACTAGAGTTCAACAAAATTAAACATAGGTGGATAAATTCCTAAGCCTTAGTTTATATCATATAACATCATCTCAGTTATCAGGCAACACTTAAGCAATTTAAACTTAATCAGGAATCTCATACCTGAGTTGGCGAGGCACGACGGAAGTGAGTGGTCATATGCAAACAATTCACATAATTCATACATACCAGTCTACAGAAACGCAGACTGGCTCTGATACCAAACTGTAACGCCCCACTTTGATTTAAGAAATAATCCATGGCTTATTCAAAAATCAGGTCAACATTTTCGAAATTCATTTTTTAAAATCCATATCATTAGGGCATTATCTTGATTTCATTTCATATTTGAAACCTCACGAGAATTCATTACCCGGTTTTTCACATGGACTTCATTGTCCTAAACATAACAATTCACCAGATATTCAAATAACACATTCATCATGAATATCCAAACATAGTTCAATAATAAGAGCTAAATCATATGTTCAAATCCAACATAACTCAAACGACATGGTCTGAAAGAAATCAACATGTTCAAAACCCAAACAATTCAAGTTCATAAATTCGGGTTAATTTATTCAAAATAATGCAAATATGACCATTTACTCGCCATCCTGCCGTCATGCCCGCCTTGCTTAACCTGAAACGTGGATTTCAGGTGGGGATGAGCACAGTTGGAAACATGTCGTGCTCACCACTATGCAATAAATCATGTACAATATTAGTTAGGCATGGTTGCAGCATGAACACGAATCAATCAATTATCACATCTCCTAATCATAACATTTTTACTCAATATGCACACCTATCATTAGCCATTGAAGGACATACAGCTCACAACAATGAGAGTAAAATACCGAAGGACATACAGCTCACAACGGCCTTGCCTATCATTAGGCTAGGGAGACTGCCTATCAAAGGCACCATCGAAGGACATACAGCTCACAACGACGGGGACAACCGCTCGAAGGACATACAGCTCACAACAAGGGTTACATGGTTCACACGCATGCATTAATCATACCATTCAACAAATATAAATAATTTATAGCATAGACAATTTTTAAATAAAACCCACTGGGTCACAAATAGGAGATAATCACGAAAGCACGATTAGGCTGCGAGCTCGGCTCGTCAAACACCTACATTAAGTCCAGATGCTATAATCAACATCTATTCTGACTTAAACGAAAAATCACAATCATACTTAGTCGAACTTGATTCAACTAAGCTGTTCGTGAAGTCCTGTGGACGTTGGAACACTTAAACTTGACATCTAGACTCAACCAATTACACATGGGAGTTCACATAATCCCAAAAATAAACATTGACCAAGTCAAACACATAATGAAACAAATGACGAGTCGGTTTACAGTTTTTATTCTAAAAACCCAATTTACGATTATACTAGTATAAATCACAAAAATGAGTTGACCAAGTTTCCATATGAATTTAGCTCTCAAATTTTAACGAAAATTTCACCTTCCAGAGTTAAGCACATACACAAATTTTCAGCTTCAAATCCCAAGTACACTATTTTATAAAATTCCCACAAGATTTCAGCAAAACCGAGCCATGAATTTATACTCAAACTTAATGAATGATCCAGGACTTTATAATTTTACACAATACACTGCAGCATGACATAAACAACATATAAAAACCTTAGCCCTTAACATTAACTGCTGCTATTTTTAAAAAAATCCAAACGAGATTCAGCAGTTTATCAAATTTAAATCAAAACTGAATCAAAATAAACTCTAAAAATTTTCATATTTTAACAGAATGAATAAACCTACAAAATAAGCAACTCAGTAAAATTTCAGAATTTTCCAGCAACAACTCAATTTATTAAATTAAATTATGAAACTGCAGAACAAAACAAATAATTTTTACACATAGCAAATGAAGTCCACAAATTCCAAAACTTTTACACGACCTATAAAACACACAGGAAGATAGGATATTAAAATTTCATAAATTTCGAAGCACAACTGAATTTAATATGCATTTTACATGATTCTGCTCAGATTTCCAAACAATTATTAAAAATAGCTAAACTTATTATTTAAATCTGAAATTTTTACACAACATGTATTTTCAGAAGGGGGTCGAGCACATAAAATTTCACTTTGATACGAGCATCACAGTATTTATCATAATTTATATAGCAAAACAACGATTAAACAATTTCAATAATTCATAACCGACTCGTTTTACGATGAATCCGTCCGAAGTCTTCGCCATAAGACTAAGGACGATGTAAGTTCCAGTCCACAGCAACCAATTCACGAGTTGACGAGGCCTCATTCGATTTTCCAAAATCGAAAGGCTCGGCAACGCAAAATTTCATATTCGACACAACATTAAAATAAAATCACATAGGCATATTCTCATGAATTCAATATTCACATACTACAAACAAATACACAACATAAACGAGACGAGTCGAGCCTTGTACCGTTCTCGGGAAATAAACAAAAACGGAACGAACGGTTGACGGAAAGCTCGGTGGCTCGAGGAAAGGGTCACCGGCTCACACGCAGCGGCTTGAGTGTGTCTGTGGCGGAGCAGCAGTGGTCAAGGGCGCTGCAGCTGGTGGTCCGCGGCCTGGAGATCGCGAACGGAGGGTGAGCTCGCCGGAAAACAGGTTCACGCGAGAACGATGGGGGGAGAGGATCGCGGGGAAAGGGAGATGACGGGCTTGCAGCGTTTGAGAGGGGTTCACGGCGCTGCTGGCTTGTCGTGGTGGCGAGATGGGCCTGACGAGAAGATGGCGACGGGATGATCGAGTTCTCGCGAGGAAGATGATGATGGCGAAAAGCGAGGGGTGAAGATGATGACAATGGGCGATGATGGTTGAGAGGGATGATGATAAGGATGAAGGCAAGGGGTTACCTTCTCTGCTCAAGTCGCCAGATCGAGAAAAACAGATGAGAGATAGAGAGGAGGGTGAATACATACATATGTATATGTATAATAGCCTAGGTTAAGAATTCTTGTACAAAAAGAAAACTCATACACATGGGCTCAAAGGTAGAAAATCGGTTCCAGACTCGGGCCGAGCTGTTTGGGCTTGGTTTGGCTCGGGCTCGATTTGACATCTCAATTCGGTTCGGCTCTCGGGCCCGACTAGACGTAGCTTAAATACTGTTTTCTCGGGCTCAATAAATTAAATCGCAAGATAAAATAATGAATCGTAAGATATATATAAATATATTACACATAATTTAATTTTTAAAATAGTAATAATTATAATATTAGTAAAAATACAAATACACAATTTAATAATTTAAAATGATAACATTTAGACATTTTGGCAATTAAATAATATTTAGACAATTAAATCACACTAGACAATTAAATAATTTTAGCATTCAACAAATAATACTAATACTAACACATCAATAAAAATAATAATAACAATAATAATAATAATAATAATAATAATAAATAGTCCTCAAAATTCCATAATTCAAACGGGGCATTACAAGCTCGACAGCTCGACAACTCGTCAGATCGGTGCGGTAGCAGCTTGGCAGGTCGGTGCAAGGGCAGCTCGGTTGGACAACCCAGCTCGGCACTTCGGCATTGGCAGCTCGACATTTCCATGCAAGCAGCTCGGCGATGGGATGTCTCTCTCACGACATGTGAATCTCGGCTAGTGCAGCTCGGCGTAGCTCGACGCTTCAAAGAGGTCGTTCGGCCCATGTGACCCAGCAGCTTGAAATTTTATGTGATGCGTAGGTTGGCGCGTGTTCGGCCAAATCAACCTGCTATGGGATAGGCGGAGCTCGTGTAAGAGGTCAATAAAATGTGGTCAATAAACAGAGGGGGTTGATGAAACTACATTCTTGGTTGAGCTACTCGTGGCTCAACCGAAGAATGGGGGGCTAGATGATACGACCATAAATAGCGGTTCACGGAGGACCGATGATAAGCCAAACTTAACCACAGCTAGGCGAAAACTAGCCAGGTGTAGTCCAATCATCTTGGCGTGGTCCAACCAGCTAGGCGGAGACTAGTTCATCGTGAGCTAGATGGAATGCTGAGAATGATGAGCTAGGCGGATGTGATCGCCTAGGCAGCTAGGCATCTCAGCAGCTAGGCGCCTAGGCAGCTGGGCACCTCGACACCTAGGTAGCTCGGCCAGGGGGTTAGTGGCTTTGTGATCAAGACATGATGAGGTTCACAACCTCAAGGACTCTCATGATTTGGATCTCTTGATCTGATCAAGAGTTACATACCGGAAAGACTTATTGTTCCAATAGGAGTCTTCAACTTCACCTATAAAAGGGCATAAGTTCATTCATTTTACATAACGCACATACGCACTATCTCGTTACTCTACAGTTTTCTCTCGGATACACCACTAACTTGAGCGTCGGAGTGTCCACGCCGGGACCACCCCCATCGTGTTTTGCAGGTACCGACGGTCAAGGAGACACAACCCGGTTCGAGAGAGGCGGTCAAGCGGTTCGAAGATTTGTGGTATAACAGACCGTGTCCACCGTCGTCACCGCCTTTGCGCACCTCGCGGTCGGAAGGGCCACACCGCATCAACGGCGAGCTCCTCGTGCCCTGTGTCGCAGACATTGTCGACCAGAGGCTAGAATTGCCGGCAAGCCCGTCGCGAGCGGCCACAAGGTTCCCTGTACGGCGACCAGCAGCAGTCGCGGCGGCGTCTTCGGATAGATGTGCAGCTCCGCCGGTGATCGACCGCGGACGAACCAGAGACTGACTGGTCGTGGGTGCTGAAAAAAAGAACCTTCAATTTGATTTGGGGGTTTAGGGTTATTGATTGCTTTTGAAAATTTGATAATGCTTAGGGGCATATATGCAATTTCATAAATTTAATTAATTTTCAATGTAGTTAATGGACAAATATATAATATATAGAAATTTTTTAATAAATGCATATTCATGGACAAATATTGAAATATTTTTTTTTATATAAATTAAATAATAAGCTATTTCGACTATGTATGTTAGTACGGTTAACCAATCGAACATTCGAACTGATTATTTTGTTTCAGCTTCAGTTTATCTTATGCATATAAAAAGACACACTCTACGTAATGCACCGTACTGTTAAACAAGATGCACATTATTGACTATCAGACTGCACAATAATAATAATAATAATAGAATTATACAATATTAAAGTGTTTGGGTAGTATTGAAAAGTTATAAAAGTTGATATAAAAGAGAATATTTTTTTGGGTTGGAGAATGGGTTTTTCGGTTGGAGATGAATTACTGCAAAATGGGATAAGTACTGCAAAATGGGTTTGAGTATGGGGTATTTGGTTGGAGATGGCCTAATAGTAGCTAAAAAAGTTTTAAGAATATTTAATGCATACTTTATGTCTAAACTTTTTAAATAAATATATTAATTGCTTGCACATACACACGTTTGCAAATCATATATGATCAAAAAGTTTTTTTCTTTAATAATTTTATTAATATGCAATAATTTTATTGATATCAACTATAATAAACAACAATATTCAATTTCTCATTATTTATGTTGATAATATTTCGGTCAAAATAACATGAAAACAAGTTTTAAGTCTTAACTGTATTATTAATTTTTTCTTTCACAAAAATTGACTTTCATCCTAAAATATTTATAAACAATCGTAACATGTAAAATAATTTTATCCTTCTAAGTAATGAGGCGAAATCAAATGGGTGAGTTAATATTTTCCGATAATATCTTTTAACCTTTATTTAATTATATGAAAACAAATAATTTTTTAATTAAAATAACTTACCATTTAAGAAATAATGATCACATCATTAAATTTTCTTACTAATGGCCAGATAATAAAATTAAAATATATTAACTATTTTTACAATTTCAACATGTGATTTATTTGTTTATTATTGTCAACCATGATAATTTCATTATTTTCTTATTTTTATTTGTTCCCATAATGAACTTATTGTAAAATATATATTTATATTGCATAGTATGTTAAATAAACTATAAAGTCTTAGGATGTAAATTTGAAAAATATGTAAGGGTTTATTATTTAGCAATTGCTAACTCAAATTTTTAGTTATTATGAGAAAATTTAAAAACATGTGTGTGTATTTTGTAAACATTTGTACATAAAATTTTATTTTAAATTTTTATTACATAACCAAGAAGAAGAAGACTACTTTTATAACTTTTATAGATAATAATAATGACAATATATTACAATAAATATTATAATAAAATAATAATTGAGTATTATATGGTAAATAAGAATAACTATAATTTTTATTTTTTCCTTATATTGATGAATAAATATATATTCTAATTAAATTTATATTAGTATAACGTGTTAGCGGAATAATATATTAATTAACAAGTTAACGTTATGGCTAAAATAAACATAATTGATTAAAAGAAGTGGAAATTGTTGATCCAACTTTATTGTTTTTGGTGCCTAAACGTACAAGCCCTATAAATTACTCATTTAATAAAAGAAGTGAAAAATTGATGATCCAACTCTATTTTTTTGTGCTTTAACGTACAAGCCCTATAGAAATTACTCATTTAATATATGTGTCTCGTGTATCGTTCAAGCTACGTACTAGTGAACAATCAAATTTTAGGAAAAGATTTTATAAAGTGTGATTGTTTTAACTTATTGAATTTCAAACTTGAATATATTAGTTAGAGGCGGAATTTCTCATTTTTTTTTTTCAAAAATGTTTCAAATTTTACTAATAATGAAAATTTTAGGGGACAATATAGTTGATATTTTAGTAGATAGATTGCAGTTACAATACCACCACTTCGAAGAGACTTCACTGACTGTCGCTGGCATCTGTCGATGCGATTTTAATTATCACCGGAGATCAATGCAATAATCTCCGGCACGCGATTCCCAAGAATCCATCGATCCCAACAAACAAATCTGCGGCACAGTTAATGTAGGAATACTCTCTCCTCTTCTTCAGCTGCATTACACGCTTCGATTGCCATTGCATTTTGTACTCGCCGATCTTGACTTCTCCCTTAATGGACTGAGGACTGCAACAGATCAGTGAAAAGATGGCGAGTTTCTTACCTCAGTTTCAGAGTATCAAGACGACCTTCGATCACGTTGTACTTGCCGGTACCTCCATTACTCTTAACTCGTTTACGCAGCCCTAATTTTCGTTGTTGCTGCATAGTCTGAAGTATGGTTTTATTCGTTTACTAGTTAATTATGTATGTATCTATGTGTGTTTGTGTGTGTACTTGCTCCTTAAACTGATTGTTTTGATCTTAGTATGTAACCTATGTAATTGATTCACTTAAAGAACTATTTGCATTGTATGGTAGCGCTCACACCGAGCCTTTTTGTTTTTCTTCTGGGCTTTGAAGTCGTGAATTAAGGTTCCTCACTGCAGTTTCGTTGTCACCGATAAGCTTTTTAGCCTTTTACTGTTTTCTGGACCAAAAAGACTTCATTAATGAAGATCGTCTGCCCTTTGTTTTACTTTGAACCTTTTCCTTTTAATTATCTATAGTTGAATTGTTGAAATGTAGAATGGAGGAATCATCAGCGTTTTTGGCCAATTGCCAATCACACCTCATCATAATATACATATATATACATCTATAGCCGTCAGTACTTGAGCAGGTTGATTTCTTTGTAGGTATTGCTGCCATGAATTATTAAGTATTCTTATAAAAAATATCACAAGAAAAACGAATTTTGTTATTAGCCTTTAATAACACACATATTTATCCTTTTTTTAGTCGAGGATGTAAGTGATCTATGGCCAACGGTCAAGAATGATTTTGAAGAAAGGTTGCCGTTCAAGAGAGCTTTTCTAAATAACAAGACCCGTAATCCGGTGCTTGTTGATGAATTACCTGCTGAATATATACTGACTACGGATGCAAGACTACGTAGTCGATTTCCTCAAGAGCAATCATTATTCTGGTTCAGAGAGCCATACGCAACTATTGTTCTTGTTACTTGCGAGGTAACACTTACTCCCTCAAGTTATCATTTTATAATCCGCCTGGATGATATGCCTGCTATTTTGTAGAGGATATGTCTAATTTTTCCTCTTAAACAGGATCTTGACGAGTTTAAGAACATTCTCAAACCACGCCTTAAACTAATAGTTCAAAATGATGAACGGGAATGGTTTATTGTTTTTGTGTCTAAAGCTCCAGCCCATAACGATCAGGCAACCAAGATGGCAAAAAAAGTTTATGCCAGACTTGAAGTTGATTTTAATTCTAAGAAGAGGGAAAGGTATGACTTCACTGGGAATTATGTGATCGACAAGTTTTAGGCTGTTACATGTTCTAACAATGCGGAACTTATAAGTGTTTTTGAATGGTTGGAAAATTGTAACTGATAAAGTTTTGTACTTACAATCATGCTGGTTAATGTTGCTGTGACTAAATGGAGGGTTTCGTTAAGGAGAAAAGTAAGAGTAAATGAAGAGTTTTCTTTTAGTAAGATGCAAGAATCTTAATATGACACTCATGTGCATTATTAGGTGTTGCAAATTGGACATCAATGGGCCTGAAGCGAGTTTCTGGGAAGACCTGGAGGCAAAAACGATGGAGTGCATTAGGAATACACTTGATAGACGAATCCACTTTTATGAAGAGGAAATTCGGAAGCTCAGCGAACAGCGATTTATGCCAGTTTGGAACTTCTGCAACTTTTTCATCTTGAAGGTATTTTTTGTGTTGGAAAACGGCAATAATAAGTTTTTCTGGTCGGTCTTTAGTTCTTTAAAAAACTACAAGGAAGCTCTTAGTGATTAACTTGTTTGATTGATTAATTAATTTGAGAGCAAGATAATACAGATGCATTTGCGTAATGAGGATAGTCGAGGATTTGCATACCTTTCTTACTTGCTGAAGTGGATAGATTGTGCTCCGACTATCTTGGTGGTGGAAAATTAGTTCTAATCATTGATTTCGATTTTCGTCATTTCCCTGAATTTGTTATTTCTAACTAGAAGTTTCAAGTATGCTTATATTTAAGAGAGGCTAATTTTTTGTTAGGTTGAATATAAATACAAAATAATTATGTTGGTGGGGTTGTATGAAGAAACTTTGTTGCCGAGGTTTACAAAGAGAGGGTAATGTCGGAGAATGATGGGGGAAGATTGTATGATGTAGCCCAAATATCTGGTCTTCTGAGAGAGTTACCTGAAAAGTTGAACAACGTAGCATTATCTCATGCAAATGAAACAAAATTAGTTATATGAGTGGTGAAGATTCGACTGGCGCCAAAAAACCTTAACCTATGTGGTGCATGATATATTGTATGACAATTTTAGTATCTTGTCCACTGACTCTTCAATGTCTTTTCTTCTTAAATGTAATTAAATTATTATCTCGCCAACACCCTATTCTGGTCAGAGTGCTGAAGTCGATTAAATTGCATTCCTCAAGATTAAACACAAGTAGAAGGTCATTTGAAATATGTCTAAGTAGGATTTTCTGATACCTTATTGGTCCTCGCTGATTGATATCTACGAATACTATGAAGTTAGGCACATTATTATAAGTACTCATGAATATTCCCACCTATGACAGGAAAGTTTGGCGTTTATGTTCGAGATTGCTCATCTCCATGAAGATGCTTTACGTGAATATGATGAGCTTGAACTCTGTTATTTGGAAACAGGTGCTGAACAAGTGTGGCATCTTACCTTCTGACTTATATTAATGATTCATATTTGTTCATAACTAGTTGACATCATTATTATTCTTTTTTTTTTGGAAAATTAAATTATGTCAATTGACTTGTTTGTTTACTAGTCATTTTTTACACTTCAAGATAACACATTTTCTTTCTGATGCGTTTGAGTAGTGCTTTTCCACTGAATGACTTAATTTGCAGTGAAAATTATCACTTACTAAGATGGTTTTGTGGAAGAAGAAGAAAAGAAAAGACATTTGTTAATTCTGAACACCTTTACTTATGTACTCTCTTTTCAATCTGGTCTGCAGATTCGTTTCACATGTTTGCACCTTGTAATTGTAGATAGAAATTGAATTCTTATTCTGGTCAGTTAATTTTCTTCTTTTTATTATGCCCTTTGCATGTATTGGCCTTGCAGTCAATATGGTTGGAAAAAAGAGGAACTTTGGAGGAGTGGAGCGAGGTGATGATCAAGCTATGCTGTTTGACCCTGGGAGAAAACCATTGACTCAGATTGTTCATGACGACTCATTTAGGGAGTTTGAGTTCAGGCAGTATCTATTTGCCTGTCAAGCAAAGGTGTGAAAGAAGTTGTTATTAGCTTAGGTTGGTTTCATATTGTGTTGCTGTAACAATACAAATGCTTTTTTTCAAAATTATTTTCATCTATTGATGATTTTGAATACTCAAATACTAAAATAAACTTATGATTAGCTTTAAATGTATTTTAGCCTTTTCTCTGGGTACTTTCTAATTGTTTCATGGCATCTTTCTTTGTCCTCTTTGAAAAGACCCTTCTTGCAACTATTTTTAAAAGGGTTTTATGACCTCGTGTATGCAGCTACTCTTCAGATTAAATCGTCCGTTCGAGGCTGCTTCAAGGGGTTATTCTTTCATAGTTACTTTCTCAAAGGCATTGACTTTACATGAGGTAGTTGACCGTCACTCATCTTTCTTTAGTACAGTTGTGACCTAATTGCTTTATGTTTAATTTCACCTTTTTAGATTCTTATATATAATGTTTTCCAGAATACATTGCCCTTCTGCATGCGTGAAGTTTGGGTAATAACAGCTTGCTTGGCATTGATCGAAGCAACCGCTTCTCATTACAAAGATGGATTCGCAGCGCCTGATGTTGAAAAGGAGTTTTATCGTGTACTTGGGGAGATATATTCTTTGTGTCGAACTAAGGTAGAATTCCTTGTACATAGGGTTTGAATCTAGAAAACTCAACATATATATTTTGAACTCTTGTTGGCTTTCTCATTTGAGTGCCACAGAATCTTTTCTTTAGGCTGCCTGAGGGATTATCATAATCAGCAGAAATCTGCTAAATTTTAAAAACAAATTTGTCCCGTTTTCAGTATTTTTTAATTG